TACATTTGTATACACTAGCATATTGTAGCAGTTTATATTACAAATAAAGATTCGCTTTATTTTACGAGTTTCAAATTTAGATCTGAACCATGTTGAAGATCTTTCAAATCAATACGACAAATACATTTGTATACACTAGCATATTGTAGCAGTTTATATTACAAATAAAAATTCGGTATTTATTTTTATAACTTATTTTTATTACATAGATTTTAATTCTAACCGAAAAATATTTCTAATCTATTTATATACATGTATTTTACTTAATGACATTGATGATATATGCAATTTATATGCACGTTTATCAATTATCAATATGAGCCATTGTATTGTTCATGGTAGTAATATTTGAATTTTAATAGTTGTTATCAACACCACGTAGCTTTTTGTCCTAAATTTATACTAATTGGTTCCGAAATAAGATTATAAATTTTTAAATTTAAATTCGACTTTTAAATACACTACTGATCGATTGCTTATATTGAGTTTCTGCTTTGCAAACAAGTTGAGGTTATAATTGTAAGTTTATTTGTATGAAATAAGAAATAATATATGTGACATTTGGATTTTATGCTACCATTTTTCTAAACAGGTGGTAGTGAGTCATTCACTTAAATATTGAGTAATCTTCAATAATGTGTAACGAAGATTTCTCTGAAACCATTAAAATAACGTATATAAATAATCGTATGTCAAAATGTGTGCCTATTTCAATTTTGCACACATTTTGACAGAAATTTGAATGAAATTTAGAGGTTTTTCTTCAAAATTGAATGATGCTTGTCAGAAAAAGTGTCAAAATGTGTGCAAATGTGTGCTATGTTTTTTTCTCGCTATCTCATCGTACTATATTTCCACCCTATTGTATTTAAAAATATAAAATTTTTTGATAATATATTTTTATATCTTGAATTTTCAAGCAAAATATTCACAGATAATATAATGGGAAATCTATCTCAACCTAGCCTTAAAGTACCAAACTCCTGCTTGCATTTTCACTCACAAATATTAAACATCCATCTCCAAAAAACTAAATTCTTCACAATTTTTTTAAAATTGAGAACATAAAAAATGTATGCATTCAATAATTTAAGATACTAACAAATATTAAAAACTTCAAAATATCAGATATTAACGTTTTTCAATTAAAAAAATATCATTTTGCTTTTCAATTCGAACATAAATCTTAAATATTTTTAATTAATATCTGATTTACAGCATTATTATCCATTTATAAATCTGACAAATAAATGACAAAACCATCAGAAATAGTGTCACTTTTGTCAAAAGTGAAGTCACGCTATTTTTCATGCACAACAACATTGACCCAGAAATGTTCTAAAAATAAAATTTTATTTTTACATGTCAAATTTCTTTTTCTCTGGAACTGGTTCAGGTTCTTTCTTCTCTTCTTCTACTTTCTTTTCTTTCTTTTCTCACTTCTTCTTTTCTGGTGGAGTTATGTCAAATTTGGCGCAACCATATTTATGTAAAAGTTCTTTGTCCTTTAATAGCTCTTCTATTCTGTTTTCTATTTCATCTTCAAGAACAGCGCATGTGTCTTCTTTGCATTCTAAGAACTTTTGTTGGACTTCATCTTTCCAATCGGTGTCATCTCTGTCAACAAGTCTGTCATTGACAAATTTTAAGACTGCTCTTTGTAATGTTTTATGGTTCTTGTCATATTCCCAGAAACAGAACTTTAGAACAAATTCACCTTTCTTGTTTACACTATGTAAGATTTTATGGTCGACAGATGTTTTGCTGTCGAAAAGCTTGTCTCGAATATAGATAGCGAAATCGCTAGACATTTTCTAAAAGATAAAAATTTTAATTTTTCTAAAAATATGTTAGAAAAAAAGTTTGCTGACATTGACAAGAAATTTGAGAATGTTTTAAATAAGAACAAGAGGAAGTTAGAAAATGCTCAGATAAAGCCTATACATGACAAGTTCTTATTTGCTCAGAATGGTATATAACAGGTCTAATTGCACCACCTGGGTCTGGTAAGACTTTCACTTATCTTAAAATGGCTGCACAACAACAAGAACTAGATGAGAAGAACCCATTCTATGAGTTAGTTGTTATTTGTTCGACTTCTGGTCAATTTGACCAAACCGTCAATTCGTTCAAAGATATTATAAAGAAGTCTAAGTTAGTATGTATAAAGGATACTGAGTTGTTAGATTGGATAAAGAAGTACCAAAGAAGAGTTTTGAAGTACAATGCTATAAATGAGTATATAAATTCTAAGTTTAAAGACCCAAATGAGGAAATGCAGAGAATATTAGAGAAGAAACACTTCAGAACAAACAGAAAGAGATAGAATACATTTCGAAGAAATTGCAATCTTACGATTGGAAGACTTACCCTCATAGATGTCTTCTTATCTTAGATGACTTTGCTTCTCATCCTTTGTTAAAGAACAGAGAACAAGACATGTGTCGAATTCTTAAGAAGCTCAGACACTTTAACATCTCAGTTGTCATTTGTGTACAGACAGCAAAGAGTTTAAGTAAGGATGTTAAAAGAATACTTACTGACATAATACTTTTCCCCGGATTGTCCGAAGACGATTTCATGGAACTTATGAAAGAGTCCATGGCAGGTAAGTTTGACAGACATGAACTATGGGAGAAGTACAAAGTCATACAAGACCCTCATACTTCTTTCAGAATTCATATCTACGCGAACAAAGTTCAAATTGTAAAAAGTCAATAAAAATAAATGGTTCATCTACCCTACTTGTTTGAAGTTGTCAAAATACTCTGTTATTTTTTCTTTCAGTAGCGGTAAGTCTTCTTTGAAGGTAAGTATTGTACAACCTTTCATATCATAGTGTGTTTGAGGTAACGTATCTTGAACTATTTGTTTCACATCTTCATTTGGGGTCATTGAAATCGGTAAGTTTTCGCGATAGAACCAATTTCTGTCAGATTTGTAAATCTTAGCAAGGTCGTAAAAGCTTTTGTTGTTTCTTCTGACTAAATGCAACACAACCATATCTTTATCTTCTTCATTTTCCAACTCTTCAGTATAAATCATATACTTATAGTTCTTTTCCTTTCCTTTTGGTACCGAACGTGGTATTCTTTTCTGAATGCTTTTGTCTTTTGCTTCAAGCTTGTTTTCCATCTCTTCACGTTCTTGTCTATGAATTTCGTCAAGAAGTCTGTAAATATACCAAGCATAACGAGGCGAAGCCCACATTGCAACAGCATTTACAAGAAGTCTATGTACATAATATCCTCTCAAACCGTTTGGCAATTTTTCACGATTTTCATAGAGTTTTGGCGACTGGGGTTTCTCGTAGTCGCTGTTCTTCACTGTTTTCAGAAAAAAGTATGTCTCGCTGTGCTTCGCTCAAAAGTTCTTGTGTGCTTTGGTTCCTAAACCAGTCTTGTGGTTTCTTAGTATCTGGAGCAAAACATGCTGTCAAAATACTTTGCATTTGGTACATATCGTCTTTGACCGAACGAATGAGACGGAGTTGTTTGTTAAACTGAACCCACTCATATTCTTCATTTATAGCTTCATGGACTATAACTGTTGTTGTGTTCTCTGTTGTTGACATATCTGTCTTTACATACAAAATAAAAAAAATTGTTAGAAAAAAATTAGTGTTATTTTCTGACTTTCACAAAAGACCAAAAATAAACGCTTTACATGTATTTTTCAGCAACTTCGTCAAATAATTTTATAGCTTTATCTATCTCATCTACTTCAAACGTTTCTTTACCTTTTATGGGAGCACCATACATTTTCTCAAACTTTTCAAGTAGTTCTGTTTCTGCAGCTCTCATATCATTAACGAACAGAACCTTGACTCTATTGACTGTAGAGTCATATCTTTGAGTTATATTATATGTTCTTCCTATCTTATATCTCTTTGTATTGAAGTCCTTCGGTTTCTGAACGATGTAAAGTAAGCCTTCACTGCAACGTTCCGTATCGAATGAACCATATGTTATGAAGTTATATCCAACAACTGGGTCTAACCATAACAAAACTATTGGTATAAGACTTTTGTCGATGAGATATGCTGCAATTCCATAGAATCTTACCGATATCATAAGCTCAGGATTTCTTGTCAAAATTTTCTGAGTTGAAGCATTTCTAACCCAGTGGTTTGTTTTCTTTTCAGATGGAGATATAATGTCTGACAAAGAATATTTGTTGTATTTCTTTGAGTATCTTACGTTTAAATCACCTATTCTAACCACTTTGGTGTCATTGTCTATCTTTCTAACTGTTTCAAACTCAATGTTTGACATATCTGTCTTTACATACAAAATAAAAAAATTTGTTAGAAAAAAACTAACTTTATTTTTTCTATCTTAAGGAAATTCATGATTTTGTGCTGAATTCAATAAAAATATATTTTAGGTGAAGCCCACATTGCAACAGCATTTACTAAAAGTCTATGAACATAATATCCTTTCAAACCAGGAGCCAAATTCTTGCGATTTTCGTACGGAATCTCTTCTCTCGGTTTTCCGAGGGAAGCAAGCATATGAGGAAATTCATGATTTTTGGTCATTTTTCAGCAAAAATATATTTTAGGTGAAGAGGTGAGATCTCACCCGTTTTCTCACCTCTTTTTTCACCTCATTTCTACCCCAGTTATTTTATAAGCGTTTTACATGGTAAACGTTATTTTTTAAATTTTGTGAAAACTCAACGGTTTGACACATGCCATATGCCATTTTACTCAGAATTTTGTTGCTGAATTCAGCAAAAATATATTTTAGGTGAAGAGGTGAGATTTCACCTCTTTTTTCACCTAATTTTTCACCCCAGTTATTTTATAAGCGTTTCACATGAATTGTACGATGTATATTTGAGACTCTAAACAGTTTTGTAGCTTCTATTTCTTCTTTTAGTACATCGAATGTTTTAACAATGCCGAAAGTTTCTTTATACTTCTTCTTGACGTCAGATATACTTGTTTATTTCTATTCGCAGTATTCAGGTTTGTGCTAAACACACCTTTGGACACCCTATAGAAGGAAATCGTCAGCAGTTGGATAGTTTTTGTTCAGAAATTCTAACATGTCCATTTTATTTTCTGCTGGTTTCTCTGCTTCTTTCTTTAAATCTGCATAGTCGTTTCTCATTCTTTCTATCTCTTTGACGGAGTAGTTATATTTCCTAATTGCTGCTTTACATTTAGAACATTGCGGATTCATTTTTGCGTTATATTCTGAAACCTTACCTGCTAAAACAACCAAGGCGTCAATGGTTTTCTTTAAATCTGAAGCAGTTGGTTTTATCTGTTCATTCCATACCTTACCTCTTCTATCTTTATCTCTTATCTGCCATACACATTTTGCAGCTAATGAAACAAAGTTGTCGTATGTCTTAAACTCCCCAGATTTATATATGTCAGAGATGTTCTTATATAACATGTCGCAATCTTTGTCCATAACTTTATGGTTGCAATGAAAACCAAGGAATTCATAGTTTACCTTACGAATGAACTTCTTTATTTCTACTGAGTCAGTTGCTTTGACTTCAATTTCGTCGAATTCAGGAATAGTGAGCTTTTGCTGCTGAATTTCAGGTAGTTTAGGCAAATGGTCGATGAGGTCCTCCATTTCATAAAGATACTGTTCATTTGTTTCATCTTTCGCACTACAGTCTAAATTACTTGTTAAAAGTTCCTGCTTTATCTTCTGGATTTCTGTTTCAAAAGTATATGAAGAAGGAATGAAGCTTTTCATTTCTACTAACATAGATGTTGGATTCATGACTAACGAGTTTGGTGCTGTTGTTTGAATTGTTGTTGTGCCGATTGTTGACATATCTGTTCTTACATACAAAATAAAAAAATAAATAAAAATAAAACTAACTTTATTTTTTCTATCTTAAGGAAATTCATGAAAATTCAAGAGGGTGAAAAAAGAGGTGAAATCTCACCTCTTCACCTTAATTATATTTTTTCTGAATTCAGCAACAAAATGAACGAGGTCAGGATGTATGTAAATACATTTGAATTCATTCATAACACCCTTAGTAAGCTCATAAAATGCTTGTTTTGAGGTCGAGCCACTTTTGGCTCCACCGTATTCTTTCAACCAAAACTCAAGAATTTCCTGCATGAATTTTGTATAAAAAGCAACCGTCTGAATTCAGACTGTTGCTATATTCTTCACAAAATGCCTTATAATACTCTTCCCAGGACTTATTTTCCAACAACTTTCTAAAGTCTTTCCTAAACTGACTGACTGACTGACGGCACAAAGTGACTTAACGAAAACATTAATATATAAAATTCATGAAAATTCAAGAGGGAGAAAAAACAGGTGAAAAAAGAGGTGAAATCTCACCTCTTTTTTCACCTAAATTATATTTTTTGGTCCGGGAACAACTTTCTCTCAATTGGAGCTGTAGCATACTCTTTGCGTAAGCGGTTCAGACCTTCTTCGAAGTCTTGGTCTCTCTTGGACTGAGATTGGAATTGCTGGGGTGGAGCTTGCTGGAACAACCAAGGGTTGGGGAAGTAAGGCATAGGCTGAGGAGGGTAGTTCGGGAAGCCTTGTGGTGGGTAGTAACCTTGAGGTGGAAATTGGTAGTAATTCGGAGGTACTTGCTGGAACTGAGGTTGCTGAGGAGACTGTTGTGGTTCTTTAGGTTCCTCTGGTTTGGGAATGGACTCGGTTGGTGGTACGTCGGGCATTCGTTTGTGGCTTAACCGTCGGACCACAACGATAAAAATCTCTGCTACTAGCAGTACTTTTACTGACAGTAGCAGTACTTTTACTGACAGTAGCAGTACTTTTTCTGACAGTAGCAGTACTTTTTCTGACAGTAGCAGTACTTTTTCTGACAGTAGCAGTACTTTTTCTGACAGTAGCAATGGTCGAGGTCGAACCTACCGACGAGGCAATTTACCTAATTGAAATTAACGAGCTTGTTAAAGACTTCCTCAGGCAGAATGTAAAAGGCAAGCTTGTTAACGGTTGGATAACGGGAAGGGCTGCCTTGAATCTCGAGACTTCGACTGGAATTCCAATTCAAATACCAGACGGGACAGCCTACGACGACATAAAGCAAGCAAAGAAGGAAGCCATTATAAAGTTCTTTGCCAAGCGTCCTTGGATACTACTTCCAAACAGAGAGAACCCTTTTCCAAGAATGAACCAAATTCTCAAGGGTCTCCTTCACTTCTCTGGTCAACCATTCTACATAACTACAGAAGGCGACATTCAGCCAGTTCAGTAAACATCTCATTTTAACTCACTTTTTTATGTTTTTTTGTGAAAGTGTCAAAAATAAATTGTTTTCATGAGTTTTCTACGATGTTAGAAAAAATGTTATTTTCTAATATCTTCACATTCAATACTTTTTCAGCACTTTTCCGTAGTTATATATGAAAGACAATTCGAGATAAAAGTCATAGTACAATGGAATAATATGTTGCACACCATTTGTTGTGAACCAAACTTGAAAGTCAGAGAACTGTTACTAGATGGTTCGTAGAATTTAGAAGCAAAGTCATAAAAGTCCTTACCAATACATAGAAAACTATTGTTGCTTGAACTGAAACTTGCATGACAATAACATTTTGAGGGTCAAACACGTTTCTATAAACCATCAAATCTGCTGGTGGAAGTATAAATTTAAATGGACCATCTGGTGGTAATGGTTCGTTCTGGTTTAGTAACCGAAGAAATTGTGCCCAAGAACGTTTGTCTACTTCCCAAAATAAAAACTCTGTATCTCTTGGAGGGTTAATTTCAATCTTTTGAAATGAAACGGTGGAGTTCATCTTGTCATATTCTAGTTTCAGATAGTATGTTCCATTTAGTAAAGAGTCGTATTTTTTTGAAATTCCCAATAATATTTTGTTCATTTGAGTTTGAAAGTCATTTAGAGTTTTCTCAAGACTTTCGTCTGAACGAACTGTAAAGATTCTCATTTCGTCAAATTTGTCTATTAGACCATCAGAACCTTTATACTGCCCATGAAAATATACTGCGAACATAAATGCGTTAGTTCTATTTGAAAACAAAACTCTTCTAAATCCTATTGCCTTTGCATCTGAAGGACTTTGAAGCCAACGAATTGGATAGTCAAACCTGTATGCTCGGGATGAAATTTCTTCATCTGAAATAGTCCTACCAGTATTTGTAAAGATATAGTCTAACGGTTTTGTATCTGCTACTTTTGTTCTTTGTTTTTCAACCTGAAGAATTTAATATATGTAAAAATATATTGTTTTAAAATGGTATGCCATTTCATATTTCTCATCTAACAAACAAGTTTCCCAACGGTCTTCTCCAACAAACTCAGCGTACAGTTCAAATAAAATTTAAAAAATGTCACTTTTTAAAAAATAAATTTTTACTTCATGCAATGTTTTATTTCTGTGCCGTCTTCAAGTATGCCCCAATATTTCCTTTTCGATATTACATGAACTTCGGAAAATACCTTATCTAGCTTAAAACAGCCCATCTTTTCACCGACCATTCCCATTTCAATGAGTTTGTTGTATCCTTCTTCGTTCGTCATGAGTGCGTCAATGTTCTCATAGTAAACCTTGACTTTGGATTTGACTTCGGAGAAGAATTTGTTGTACTCGTCAAGGACTGCCTTTGCGAACTGAGGGTAAGACCAATGTTCGACAATAGGTTTTAATGTGGTTACTAAGCCACTTTGACCTTGAGTGAATTCGTACTTCAAAACAAAAGGAGAAAACCTTTCAACAAAGTTGTCGACCTTCTCATAATGTTTACTCTTCATCTCTTGAGGTTTCTTAATGGAATATCCCCATGTCGAATTCATAAGCAATTTGAGTGTCATTGCAAGTTTGGGGTTTGAAGCTTTCCTAATATCATACAGTTGTTGTATGACTTTTCCAACTGTATAGTTCCTTCCCGGGAACTCACCATCTTCGTTTGGAATTCCAGTCGGAATATATTGGACAAACCTCATGTATGCAGCGTTAAGGTCGACATAGTATATCTTTTCATCTGAGTCGAACTTGTCGCAACCAATTGGTCCAGTTTGTGGAAATTCAAGTGAGTCTCTTATCTTCTGAGAAACTTCTCCTGTTATCTCATAAACATCGTCGAAGCAACCTGTTTCATATAAAACCTTCTGACCTAACTCAGATGCTCTCCAATACAATTTGATGTCAATTGGATGTCTCAATGGAAGTTTGTTTATAGTATCTTGAAGTTCTTGCAACCTCATTGGAAGTTCTTCTGGTTCAGGTTGGTATCCGAACATACCAACCCCTTGTGGAACCGTGTACTTCTTTTGTACTAGAAATTTGTCTGGAACAACTTTTGGTCTTGCTAACAATGAAAAGTTTGTTTCGTCTTTTGGTACAAAAGTTTCTGTCAGCTTGTCATCTGGAATTGGTTCCAACAAACCTTTCTTGAAAAGAATGTTGACAGCTCTGACAATGTTGCACTTACTTTTACCAAAGAATGGGTTTGTAAGACTTTCGTTCAACATGAAGTGGTTGTGGACAATTACAATCTTCAACCATGGTAAATTGAACTCAACAACATAGTCGTCATGTGAAGAACCTTTAGCTGTAGGTATGTTGACTCGGATATTGACATTTGCCAACGGTGCAATTTTTGCCAATTGACCTCTGAGAATGTACCTTGTCTTCACACATGACTCAAGATACTTCATCTTCTCATCTGTAACAAGACCAGAGTTCCTGAGACATGTAAGAATGCAAGGTTCATTGACAATTGTTTCAATTGAATTGTAAATTCCATACCTTGTCAAGTCAATGTCAGACTTATTTATGAAGGGGAAGTATCCAGCATGTTGTCTGACTGCTTGAGGGTTAGGTTGGTACCATTCGAACTTGACACTTGCAATTCCTTCAATTGCATTCAAAATGTCTGAGTCGGAGTCAACCATTTGTTCTCTCTTTGTAGTCTTGAAAGCGTCAAGAAGTTTTGCGGCTGTTTGTTCATTGCCATGTGCATAGTAAATGTGACCATCCAAATCTGTTATGGTCAATCTGAGATTGTGTCCTTTCTTATTTCCGTCTTGAATTGCAGCAAGTACTCCCATGAAGCCTTCTTTGTTCTTTCCTTCGTCAAAGTTTACTGTAAAGGTTCGACCAGATGTAATTTGACTTCTAACTTCACGATACTTTTCATATGCATATCTTGTTCTTTCCATGGGAGCATGTGCGTCTTCACCTTTTCCTTTTTTCCTTCTCAAAGGATGCAATTGTTCGTCATGTTTCCAGTAGAATCTGGCAAAGCCGTCGTGTCCTTCAACTTGAGGTTCACTAACATCGAAAGGCATGTCCATAAGACGTTCTTCTTCTAACCTCTCTAGTCTGTTTGGATAATTGGCACGTGCTGTTTCCAAATCCATTTCGTAGCGAAGACCAGACAATTTGTCATAGACTTTTATGGGTCTTCCCTTCCTATATTTAAAATTCTTCGAAACTCTCCAACCATATCTTTGTAACTCTGCTTTTATTCTAGCAGACTTTCTATCCATTCTATATGGGCATTTTTATAAAAATAAAAAAATATTTTTTCTTTACTTTACATAACCGCCTGCTGCCATAAGTCTTTGACGCCAACCCATACCAGCTAATGAAGGTTGACTTGGTTTAGTTTGGAAACTAAACTTTGGTTTTGGTTTATCTTCAGTTTTTGGTTTCTCTTCTTCTATCGGTTTTTCGTCACTTTTCGGTTCCTCTGACTTTACTTCACTTGCAGGAACAGTTGTGTCGTCAACATCTTCATAAATATCATATGCCATTTGTTTTTGTTTTCCTTTCAACTTTTTTGTGTTTGTTGTAAAGTTTAGAATATTTCGACTCTAAGTCAATGAGATGTTCTATAATGAACTGTTGGTCAGTGAAGTAAACTTTTCCATCTGTTGTCTCGAAAGCTCCTTCAGACTTCAATATTTTATTTGTGAGGGTCTGTTTCTTTTTTGAGATACTAGCCGTTCCATTTCTATGAAAAGTGACTTTATAGTTAGGGTTTGTATTTCCAGACCTGGCACTTTCTATTATTGAATTTTTCTCTTCATCTGTAAGTTCTTTGACAGGTTTTGACAATGGTTCTGAACTTTTTGTTTGTGGTGTCAAATCTACCGTTTCAACTTCTTCGGTCATTTCATCTCAGTAAAAAATTTTAGTTTGGTTTGTTTTCAACTGGTTGTTTAGGTTTTTTAAGTCGGTCTAAAACTTCCTGAGGTATAGGAAGAACTTTACAAACACGTGGTGTAACTGCTGGAAGTCGACAAATCCATCTTGAACTCATTTGTCTCAATGCTGTATTGTTCATTTCGTCTCAGTAAAAAACTTTACATTCCCCACGTTTGAGGCGGTTGAGGTTGGTTATTGTTTACCCACTGTTGTGCATGGTTATATCCTCTGTTAAAGAATCTTTCACCTTGGTCCATATAGTGTCCTGCTTGGTTATAGTAGTCATTTGCTTTGTTATAATAGTTTCCTGCTTGTCTTCCTACATTGTCCATCCATCCTTGAACTTTTCCTCTTGTTTCAGGATTTGGAATAAGATTTGTTGCATCTCGTGCTACATCCCAACCTTTCTGTACAGTTTGTATAATAGGTTGTGCTTTCTCTTTAAGTATACCTAATGTACTCAAAATCTTCCTTCCAATTCCAAATGCACCTCTGGCTATTGTTCCCACTGCGGGCAAAAATCTGGATGCAACTCCTGCTAATGCGCCAAATAAACCCATTTCTTATAGGATAAAAATGACGAATCCAAACAAGGACCCCTATGTTTCTAAAGCGACAAAGAAAGCACTCATGATAAAAATCTTTAGTTCAACACCAAATGCTTGGTTTATGGATATCTTGGAAAACATTCCGAGAGTTAGAACAGATGGACCTCCATACTGGTTAATATTTGTCGGTCAAAACACAAGATACTGTGAAGCCATACCATTATGGTCCAAAAATATTTTAGATGTGAAAACTGCTTTGACAATATTCGTTGACAAATACCATCCAACAAAACTGACATCTGACTGTGAAAGTTCTTTCAAATCAGATGATATTAAAAACTATCTGCGTTCAAAAAATGTAAACCAATATTTCATTGTCGACCAAAACTATCTCATACCGAAATGGCTCACCAAAAAGGTGACATTTTTGGCGCCAATAATTTGATTTTTCTGATTCTTTCTATTTAGATATATTTATTTACTATTCATATTCCTTTATATTGCCTCATATTATTTCCCATTTTTAATCATATTATACAAATCTTTAATAATTTTTAATGTTTTGAGCTTCAAAATCTTGTTCTAACTATTTTCATTCATATATCCTAGAAAAAATTAAAAAGTTTTTTTAGAAATAAAAATGTTTGTATGTAAAGTATTGAAAATATTCTAGATGAGAAGACATTCTCCAGAAGAGATTGATATTGATTGGCTTTGTGAAGCCATCACAAAATCAAATAATGGAGTTAAGTTAACTGATATTTGCGCGAAAGCTAAAATAAATCATGAAGGCAGAGTTATATATAATCATACTATCTTAAAGTATTCCTAGAAATTTCCAAAATTAACCGAAATATAACTGTACAGAATTACTATTTTCGAGATAAAATTCATATGGAAATACTAATTCATAACGCTTTATGTTATATAAAATTTAATTTATAAAATTTCAAAATAAATCAAATTTAACACAATGAATATAACTGCAATCGAGGTTTTTGACGATTGATTCTTACGAGAAGTTTTCCAAACTTTGAGTTAATGTCTTGACATTAACTCAAAGTTTGGAAGTCTAATAAGGGGAATTGTAGGCTATGAGGTACTGATTATATATCAGTGCCTCATAGCCTGCAATTCCCATTAGAAATGGGAGAAACTTTGTCCGCATAACTTATGATGCGGACAAAGTTTCTCCCATTTCTACTTAGAATGAAAGGGCAAGAGGTATATAGGTACACTATATATCTCTTGCCCTTTCCTTCTTACCTAAAGACTTCCAATCTTATTTTTTTCCAATTTTTCCCCTAAATTTAAATCTTATATAATATAAATAAAATGCATAATATCAATCAAAAAAATTCATGTTTATTTTTTTAATTAAAATTGCCGCGCAATTTAAGGTTTTCTGTCACTTTTTTGTAAGCCATTTCGGTACGAAACACATTGTCGACCAAAACCATTCTGCTCTTGGTGTCATTGACGGATGTATAAAAATGTTAAGAGACTTAAACCAACCACAAGGTGGTGAAGCAAATGAAATGTCATATGACGACAAATATAGACACTTCTCCATGGCAAAGATGAGACAAGTTTTAAATATTTACAATAACCGTAAACAAAAAGGTTTGGGAAACCACTCCCCCGAAGAAATGAAAAACAACCCTGACTTAGAGAAAGACTATATATTTAATAATTTAGTCAAAAGAGACAAACAAGAAAGAATGCCGGGCTTCAAACTTCAGAAAGGTGACAAAGTAAAAATAGAAATACCTAAACGCGACCCATATGAAAATACTATTGACTATGACAACAATGGGAACCCGACAGGTACTCACATTCGTGTTCGTAAAAATAGAAGAAAGTATACAAGAGAATATTATGAAGTTTTAGGCAAACATGGCAAAATGTACACACTGCAAGCAGAAGATAAAACTACTATTGCCAGACCTCGTTTCAAACTTGTCAAAGTTCAAGGTGGTATACTTTCAAAGACAGTTCCTAACAAATATAAGACAACTCCTGACGAATATGCTAAAGAAGTTGAAAATGACGACTAAGCATTTCTATACCATGCGTAAACTGTCATGTAAGGTGGCATGTATTCTTTACTTTGTCCCGTTGTTTGCGTATATCCTGAAACGAAATGTGTATGGTTTCCTTCTCCCTGAGTGTCACTCCAGTAACAATTTATAGCAAACTTAACGTCGTCTTTAACATCATATCCTTTACCTTTTGTCATTCCTGACCAATCCCAATATCTATGCTTATGCCAACCTGCTTGAGATGTACTTAAATCTATGTAGTGACTGTGTGCAGGTAAATTTTCACCTGAAATCGTTTTACTTCCACCTGTTTCCTTTGAAGAGTTTGCACAATACAAAAACCTGTCGACTATTTGTTCCCATGCACCAACACCAAACATTACTTGAGGACCTCTTGCTTCCATAGATGTATAAATAGAACCTACTGGGTTCATTAAATCAAACATATGAGATATTATAGGATTGTCTCTTTTGAACTTAAAATATAGTGCAACTATTTCAGGTTTCTTCTGGTTTGTGTCAGAATATTTTTTATAATATAATCTTATGTTTTCAGGGTAGGTAAAATCTTGACTATAATATAGGGTGTCCAAAGGTGCGTTTAGCACAGCGCTCTATATGAGACTATTAAAGGAGATATATGCTGATTATAAATATATAATAAAAAATATGAATATATGTATATGATGAGTATGTTGTATTTTGGCGCCATGCCGGGATATAAAATGAATTTTGAGACAAGAGGCGGTTTCGCGGGAAATTTTGGCGGGATTTTTTTTCATTTTTTTAATGAATCATAAAGAAAACATCCTCGCTCTTGCAAAAAAATGCAAAGACTGTAAAAAAATCTACGAGACATTGGTAAAATGCTTCGGTATGGATGCTCCTAGCTATTCCACTGTAACGTATCATGTTAGGATGTATCACTTCATGAACAAAAAGGCTCCCATCATAAAAATTGACAAAAAATCGCCGGATCAAAGAAAAATCAAAGCAATTCTTCAAGCGCTAGATGAAGACCCAAGAGCATCACTCAGAAGGATAGAGGAGATGACAAAGGTACCACGTACAACAGTCAGTTATTATCTGCACAATTATTTGAACTACAAACTAGCGTATACACGTTGGGTTCCGCACAACCTTAATTCAGTTCAAAAAAAATCTAGAGTCCAATCTTCGAAAGAGCTCCTCTCTATATTGCGTGCGTATCAATCCAAGAAGTTTCGCTTTTTAGTAACAGGGGACGAGTCTTGGTTTCACTATGCAACAGAAGCCAAAATCATGTGGATCCCGAAGGATGAAAATCCGCAAACATTCCCGAAGAAAAAAATTGACACACCAATGATGATGTTGTCGGTTTTTTGGGGCGTGAATGGCATCATCGCAATTGATATTCTTCAAAAACCTAATACGATGAATGCTCAGTATCTAATTGACAATGTTCTTACTCAAATTATCAATTCTGATGAGTTTGAGAAATCCAAACAACAAAAACAAAAGTTTGCAATTCATTTTGATAATTCAAGAGTTCACAAAAGTCATAAGGTAATGAATTACTTGGTGGAAAACAATGTCAAAGTTGTTCCAAACCCAATTTATTCACCTGATATTGCACCCTCTGACTTTTATTTATTCGGCACGCTAAAAAAGAGAGCTGAAGGACGCGAATTCGCGAGTCCAGATGATCTTGAAAATTTTGTAAGAGAGCAATTTGAGCAATTTTCTCATGATGATTTAAAGCGTGTCTTTCAAGCCTGGATCGATCGCTGCGAACGCGTGATTGAATCCAATGGTGATTATATTTAAATAAACTTTATATATATGTAACTTGTTTATTTCTATTCGCAGTATTCAGGTTTGTGCTAAACACACCTTTGGACACCCTATATTTATTTCTGTCATCTGTATAATAATATACTATTCTCGTTTTTTCTATTGCATTATATCTTTTATATCTATAATAATCTAAATATAATGTTAGCTTTTGTTCATCTACATGTGGTGTTCTGTCGTCATCTCCATAGTCATAATAATGTGGTGCCGGAGCTGGGTCAGGCAATGTCATATCCACCACTTCATAAACTCTTAAATATTTCTTTTGTTCGTCTCCATATAAGTTTAAGTAGCAGTTGTTGTCTAATGGAACTTTAACTTGTGTACCATCATTCTTTTTATAGCTTACATACATTTCATTGAGTATATAAGAATTTCCGAAAAAGTGACACCCAAAAAGTGACACTTTCAATAGGGAGTAACACTTAAAAAGTGACAATTTAAAATTCACAATAAATAAAAATAATAAATTTTTTAGTCTATTAAATTATTCTTTTCTTTGAAATCCTCCAAAAATTCTTCGAAATGTTCTAAAATATAATCT